TAATCAATAAAAATATTAATGAAAATTTACTTCTATCTTTATATTTAATTTTTTGGAGCAAGAGAGAAATTTTCTCAAGACAAGAAAATTTACTTCTATCAAGAAGTAAATTTAGTATACGTATTTCTTAAAACAAGAGAATTAATTTTGTTGGAACAAGTGAAATTTCTTGTCAAAAAAAAAAATTTTTTTTCATATATATTTCAAAATAAAATTTGAACATAAAACTCATCATGAAAAAAAAATTTTTTTTTGCACTAAAATAGTTTTTGAATTGAGAAATTTATATGATATGACTTGGAAGTAAGTTATCTATTCGGAAGCACCCGAAGTGAAATTTATTTGATATTAATGCTGGTATAGATGTACGAACAAACCACGGAAGCTATTTTCAAAGTTTGCTATGAATTTTCTGCACGGTTATTGAAATTTTGTGGCTTCAAAATTAACCGCGAATACGAGGCTCACTTTTATCAGTTATTGAGGGCCTACCTACTTTCGCGGTGTGTTTTAACTTATATGGCTTCGATGTTACCATTATGATTTAATTACCAAGTTACTTCCCCAGAACAGTGATTAAAAATAGATGATAAATATTTATCAACAGAAGTTTGTAGAAAATTTCATGAGAATCACTGAAATGTTTACGAGAACTGAAGATAAATGGACTTTTAGTCTGAATACAAACATAATATAACATAACACACGTAGACAAAATTACCTTGATGATAAATAACCGGGATGTAGATATTATCGTAGCTCTTAGCGGTATAATGCGTCTGTATTTATATCTATATCTACACACATAGTCGATAAAGTAAACTGTACGCCGTCCCGGAGATCCTTCGGGAGAAAATTGGATTTGTAAGTTGGTTCGTGCCGGGACTTGAAGACTTGGACTTTGCTATCGCGATCATTTCGCAGTAGATATGTAAGTAAAGACACTGAGTAGTATAAGGTAGTTGAGACTAGTGGTAGAATGAACCCCTAACCCCTGGCCCCTCATCCCTCGAACACGATCGTGTATGAACAAGAGAGTTTAAAGTTGTCCAATTGTTCAAACGTTCGGAAGCGATTGATCTTGCACAAACGGATATAAATTTACAGGCATTGTCATGGTAATTCTCTCCAATAGAATAATTATTATACTAAAGTTTTATCATTTTCCGTCGAAAAATTTTCTGACAAGGGTATAAATAATTTTTTTATTTTTTCTAGAAATGTGTATTTTAATTTATATGTTTTATTAAGCAAAAACTAATTACGTAGTTGATTAAAATAAAAAATAACAACAGATTACCTATTGAAGGACGTAATAAAATGATTTTTATTTTAAAACTTAACTTCTAAAATTGAACTCTGTAAGAGTGAAAGGTTTTAGTGATCATGCGTCATCTGTTGGGAATTTTTAACACTATTTTTGAGCGAAAAATTATATAGAGACGTAGATAGTCATTTTAGACAATATGTGAATCATTTTAAAATCATTTAACATTATCATTTTAAAAAACAATTTAATATCTAATAGGGATTTAATATTTTGGTTTGGATCATTCAAATAATTTATAATCAGACTATTGCTACATCAAAATGTTAAAAAATCATCCTCTAAAAAATAAGAAGTTATACCAATTGCTAATTAGACCGTCGATATATAGATGTAAAACCAAATTAGATCGTATGTAGATTAGAGTGCGTAAAAATTTAATCTCTGAAAGCAACTTTTTAAAATTGGAATTTTGGGTTCTGCTTTTAACAGAAGCTTCGTTTGGGCAAATTTTAAAATTTTGAAAGTTCAGAAAAAATGCTTAAACAAAACTCTTGTTAAAAAATTATGTGAGTATCAAATAAATCGTGACACATCAAAATATCTTAGGAAATGTCCCAACCTAACTCCTGCTAAAAGCAGAACTTAAAATTCCAATTTTAAAAGGTTGCTTTTAGATATTAAATTTTGACGCACCCTAATGTAAATACATTAGACCATACCTGGCTATATATGATATGCATGTTAGAAAATTTTTTTACGGATTAATAACGAGAAATAAAATAAAATTGGATTATTTAAATTAGAGTGACGTTTAACAGAATCAAATGAAAAAAGGGGTCGTTTATTTGTTTAGTTGTTATTTTTAGCGAGTGGTAGGCAGATCACTTGACGACTTGACTTTGGAAGGGGAGGGACGAAGGGTATCGGGTTGGAAGGTACACGTGCAAACATATGGAGGGGCTAGTTTAATTATACGCCAGTTGAGCGTGTCAACAAGCCGAGAGGACCGAATTCGACGGTTTGTAGACAGGACAGAGAGGATCACCGTTATACGCTCCACGGAAATTGATTTCCGTCTACTATATACATTTCAGATAGATAAATGTCTATTTTCAAGAGAGACTGTATCAACACCCACATCATCGATTATTGTTTTTAAAATTTTGAATTTAAATGCAGGACCGTTTTCAGGCCAGAAGAATTATCGTGTAAATAAAGGCGTGTAATGATTGTTAATGCGTAAACTAAAGGGTTTAATTTATTCAAAGCCAGCCTCGGAGATTAATGGGTTCTCATCAGCGACGTTAACAAGGTCACATCCTTCAACCCCCATCAGGTATCTTACACTTCTGTTAGGTACTCTTCTAAACCGAGAGATAAATTAATGCCACTTGGATCCTCCTATCCTTCTATCAAGAGCGACAAGTCAACCCTTTGAGAATCTCTCTTGAGCATCAAATTACAATTGTAATAATGCCGTTCTGTATCTGATATCCTTTGAGATTAACCATCGTTATAGATTAACTTCTACATATATATTTATCTGTATTAATCAAGTCTAATCGGTTTTGTTTTGTTGAATTAGCAAATTTATAGTTTTTTTTTCTTTGTTTTAAAGCTTTAATTATCCTATCTCTCTACTTTGCAAGACGAAATAATTAAATATGGTCTTTAGTAAAGCAGTCGGAGTTTTATTCGCTTTGACATTCCGATCGTAGATCCTCGAGCGCTCGTGAAAGCTTCTAGTAGTCACTCTCGTCCCTCTTACACTCACTCCATGCTCTGTCACAGGATTTCCAGCCCCAATAAAAGGATTTAACGGACGAGGGTTAATCCTATTGGAAGGACTATTCTCGCACTTTTATTCCGTAACTGCACGCCATCTACCAATTTACCAATCCTCATTTCAGCCTTTTACTCATTTTCTTTCCGTACATTGTTATTATTTTTTTTATTATTGACGCTAACGTGAATTCTAGTTAGAAATTTTACCAACTGGAAATATTTTCCGAGTAAAATTTATGATCTTTTTTTTTTTATTTGTACATAGATTAATGTTTTATTAATTCAAAACAGCTTCAGTATTTGCTTAAACTAAAAATGAATCGCAGATAAACTTTTTGAAAGTCACTACAGTAATTTTTATTTCCTAACTTAACTTCTGAAACTCAACTCTCTTGTAAAGAGAGAATTTAGCGACCATGCGCCACCTGTCGGAAATTTTTAATACTAACTTTGATCAAAAAATCATACGTAGACATGTGAGATCATATCTAGTCACACGGAAAAAAATTTTATGTTATGTTTATAATAAAATAATTGTTTTCATAGAAACAGATCTTTAAAAATAACACGGGAAAAAAATTTTTTTTCACTTGTTCACTGAAAAAAAAAATTAACGATTTGAGAGAAAAATTCTTGAACCAAGAAAATAATTTTTAAGAGGGTAATTGTTTTAAAAAATATCCTTAAATCAAGAAAAATTTTTTCCTAGTTCAAGAATTTTTCTACTTAGAACAAGAAGATTAAGCTCTTGAAAATTATATACTTAATTCAAATTAAATGAATTTTTGCCGTACATAATTTTTGATAATTTTATATTATATTTTTTACAATGTAAAATCTACATTTTTCCGAACTTAAAATTGACATTTTCAGTTTGACGTTTGTATAACTGAATCGTCATTTAATGACAATTAAAAAAATAAATTTTTTAGAAAATTTGCTCTCAGGAAAATTGTTCAAAATTTCTAATTAAAATAAAAAGTTTCCAAAGTTAATGATGTACTTAACATTACGCTCGAAGCGAAAACCTACAACAAAAGTTAACAGCAAAATTTAGTCCCTGTGCTACCCTCTTGTTCGTTTGTCAACAGCGCCTTGATATTCAAACTTAATGTATCACTTGTACATCTGGGTATAAATCTACCAGCGCGATTTCTCAATTTAAATTCTTACTGGTTCTCTTGATATTTAAGTTTTCCGACACTGCGAAACTCAACATCAATCATTTAAATTCACTCGTCAGAACACACAAACAATAGTAATTAAAAGTTTTTATAAAATACTGACGACTCGCTAATCGATCCGAACGATGATAAACCATCAAAGCATCATAGTAAATAAAAACCAGATAACTAAACCTACTGTTCTCCTCTACCCTTCCAAATTTATCGCGTCCTTTTTCGCGGAACTCCATTGATCGATCTTAAACGGAGTCTTATTTTTTAGTGGATTTTACACTTAACTTATCTTAGATACTTGTTCTTTCGACAGTTTTTTGAACTACCTAAAGAGAAAAACACTGTACAAAGTTATTGCATTAATGAATAAATGAATAATTTAAAGTTACATATATTTTTAAATATAATAAAGACTTTAAAAAGTATATTTAAAACTTTCAACTATTCAAATTTAATCTTTAATTTATTTACTCTTGTTTCTTCAGGAGGAACCATATATTATGCTGAAGAAAACAGATTCCGAGAAAGTGCTTATTGGAAACGATCAATACGAAGGTTACTGCAAGGATCTCGCGGATTTAATTACTGCTGAGCTGGGAATCAAATGTAGATATTTATTTAGTGTGTTAAAAAATTTTTTTACTAAATAAATTACATGAGTTTTGTTTTTAGACGAGTTGAGGATTGTTCGAGACGGTAAATACGGTACAGAGAGCCCGGATACTCCAGGTGGTTGGGACGGAATGGTCGGCGAGCTTATCAGAAAGGTAATTTTATTATAAAAATTTTTTTAAATAATTTATTGAAAAATTGCAAAAATACACAGTAAAAAATTTTATGTTAAAAAATTTTTATATTAAAATATTTAAAATAAATTTTTTTTGACGCATGACTTTTAATGTCATTGCAAAGGTCTTGACTAGAATTTGCGAATTTTCTAGGTTTCATATCATTCTCACCGATAGTCAATTTATGATGATAAGTATTTAGGCTGAATTCGAAAATTCGCTATCTCTAGATACATAATTAAGAAATGACCTTATATCTTGTGAACTATTGACATTTTTAAAGATGTAAGCTCACCCCGACATTACACTTCTTGAGACCTTTCATTTGAGTACCCACATCAATTTTTCATATATTTATATATACTATATATATGTATACATGAAAAATATATGAAAATGCATGCGGGTACTCAAACGAAAGCTCTTGATGAGTGTAACATCGAGATGAGCTTACATCTTTAAAAATATCAACAAGAAATGACCTTGTATCTTGTAAACTATTGACATTTTCAAAGATATAAGCTCATTTCGATGTTACACTCATCAAGACCTTTCATTTGAGTACCCACATCAATTTTTCATATATTTATATATATTATATATATATGTATATATGAAAAATATATGAAAATGCATGTGGGTACTCAAATGAAAGCTCTTGATGAGTATAACATCGAGATGAGCTTACATCTTTAAAAATATCAACAAGTAAGAAATGACCTTGTATCTTGTAAACTTTTGACATTTTCAAATATATAAGCTCATTTCGATGTTACACTCATCAAGACCTTTCATTTGAGTACCCACATCAATTTTTCATATATTTATATATATTATATATATGTATATATGAAAAATATATGAAAATGCAGGTGGGTACTCAAATGAAAGCTCTTGATGAGTGCAACATCGAGATGAGCTTATACATTTAAAAACATAAATAGTTAAGAAAGTACAATGCAATTTAACAAAAGTCATCATTTAATAAAGCAAAATTTTATCTATTTATAGTTCACAAGTCACGGCAGTCACATAGTGACTGCAAAATTGCTAGTTACTATTATTTTTTATGCAGCACATAAATAATTTTATATTTTTCAATATTTATCCATTTATTACAGTTCAAAAAATTATTATTATTATTTATATGCTCGAGTAAGAACATATTAATTAATAAAAGAATTAAAGAAGATAATAGATTAATAGGGTAATGAATGAATTAGTATACTTGACATATTCTCTCATATATGTAATAATAATATGATCAATGTATCATGTCACATAGTAGCATATATAAATGAGATTAGATGGTGGTGATAGGTAATGATTGACAAGTGCGAGTAGTTCCAGAGCTTGGGGAGGACGCGGTAGTGAAATTGGTGAGAGAATATTAATGATTTAGTGGCGTGTGGAGAGAATCGTGATCAAATGTACCCACTTGCACCAGTAGATAGAATCGAATAGAATGTAGTTGTTGATGTTGTAAAGTTGTAGTAGAGAGCAGAGGGTTAAATATGAATACGAAGCAGAAAGGAGGAGGAGGAGGAGAGAATGGAGGAAGAGGAGTTAAAGGGGTATAAGTTCAACCCAGAGAATATGATGGGGCGAATGTTGGTTGGCTCGTCAATATGACTTTGTCTCTGTTCACTCGCGAAATAACTTTATGAGCCTTGGCTATTCCATTTAAAGCATGTGCATCGATAATGACATTATATTCATGGCGATGCCGAGACCCGGAGCAGAGAGAGGGAGTGAGAGAGAGAGTAACTCGGGCTCAATGAAATTACTTGGAAATACGTTGGAACTGGCTGCGTACACACGCCATCACCCCTTCATACCCTTGAGCTATCACAACTGGTGGCCTTGTGCATGCTCTTACGCCCTTCCACCCTCTCATTTCCGGGGAACTATCACCCTCCACCGCCTCACGGCTCCCGGTCCGATATATGCCACTGCGAATATTAATACCACCCTTTGAAATTTAATTAAACTTCACCATGACCTAATCTATAGCATATCTGTTGGGAGATATCGTACACGCTTTGATTATCGATAAAATATTCACCCTGTTTATTTATTCATCCTTCCATTTCCTCTGTGTTCGACTCTAACGATATTCATCTATCTATCTATGGATATTTATCAATATTCACGCTCTGATGAGACGTATCTTCTATTAAGAGGGGGTCTCAGCTATTACAGGTTCATCAGTTTCTCTTAAATAAAAAAAATTTTCGAAAAAAACCCGATAAATTATTTAATTTATTTCTATTTTATAACAAAGCGATTTTTTGTTAAAAATCATTTTCACTTTGATTTTATCACAAGTTTAAAGATTATATATATAATAACAACCTTGCAGTCACTATGAGACTGCTGTGACTTGTGCACGATAAATAAATAAAATTTTGCTTTATTAAATAATGACTTTTGTTAAATTGCACTGTACTTTCTTAAATATTGACGTTTTTAAAGATATAAACTCATCCCGATGTTACACTCATCAAGAGCTTTCATTTGAATACCCACAT